AATACTCTGAGCAGCAAGCTCCTTTGAGAAAAGAGAAATTATGCTTTCTGTGGAACCAATTTGATATGCTTGGTGAGAAGCAGGATGAGACCAGATGCCCTTTTAGTGTTTTTGGATACTTTAGGGAAAATATATAAGTGGATCCAGCTCAAAGCTCTTGCTGCCTCAGGTACAAGAACAGCAATATTCATTAGTGAATTTTTATTGCTAGGCATGAATAAATTACTAGATATCTGGTGCCTGCAGACAGGCAAAGGAAAAGCTGTATGGGAAAGCTTGGATTTAAGACAAGTTTTTCACCTCTGAAAAAAAACTGCCTATTTGTTTGAGGTGTAGGTTCTTCCATCCTTGGCAGTTCAAATGCAGTCATACCCTGGATCAATGCAATCTTGTCTCAAGCAGAGAGCTGTGATAAATCTGTTCAAATCTCATTCCCTCAGATGGCTGTGTGCCAACAAAGGTGATAATGAATGTTTAGGTATGAACTCAGTTGTTTTTTTTCTGGCAACAAACTATGTAGAGGTTCAAGTGGAGCATTTTATTGATTTACTTTAATATCACTCTAAGTTGGGTGTGCTTTCATAGAAGCATTGTATCTATTTAATGTTAGATCTATCTCTATATGAAGAAGGGACAGCCACAAAAACAATGGAATTAAAACAGAATTGCCACTTCTTATACTGTAGCCAACTGAATAAATCTTCCTCTTTTCCCCAGGTATCTCTGTTCTGGTTTCTGTGGGCTTGTTCAGTTCACCCATTCAAATGGTTTCTAAGGGTGCAGCTGACAAGGCTCATGCACAGTTCAGTGTTGCAGTGTTGATCCCTGAATCATGCTGCAGCATTAACTGTTGTCATAGAGACACAGATTTTTCAGTCCAAAGGGACAGTTTTGATAGTCAGCTCAGACCTGTTGTAAAACACATAGTAGCTTGCCAGTAAGTAAATAACTTTGCCAAACTGGAGCACAGTTGGTCCCTCCCTCTCCTGTGACAGTGAAACACATTTCACTGAAGTTTGTGAGATGCTGTAAGTAAAACCCCAAATAGGGATTTAATTTGTTGTAAGAGTGATGCTGTCAGCACACATTTTTATCTGATGAGTGAAAGCCAGGTGCAAGCTTACTCCACAAGATCCTGCTGTTACTGTGACACTGGCAACCTCAGAGAGACAAAGAATATTAAAACAATAACAGTATTCTGTCTTACCCTCTAGGTAGTGCAGTGAGGTTAGCACTTGTAAAGAAGGATGCTGGAGCGGGGCAGCTGTACGCAGTCAGGAGTCTCTGACAGACAATCCCTGGGTGATATAATAGTAGCATTTTGATGCTACTCCCTGGTTGTTTGCCTCCTCCCTCTGCTTGCTCCTTTATCAGCTGTGTGTCTGCACCCATGCCAGTCCAGAGCCTGTGATGGCTGCTGCCAGGAACAGTGGACTTGTGCCAAGGCACAAGTTTTGAACTGCCATAGCAGTTGTAGCCCTTGCCAAAGGCTACCTGATACAGCACAACTAGCAGCTGGGGGATTTAACATCTTAAATTGCCAAGCTGACATCCATCAGAGCCCATGTGAGAGTGCCAAGCAGTCTGTGTAACCTCCATCCAAGTGTTAAGTCTTCTCTTTCCCAGTATATGCTAATCTGTGAGAAATGGATTGTTACAGATCCCAGCTCCACTGATGAAGCAGTTCCAGTTATAAAATCCCTTGATTCTGTACGCAGACGTTTTCAGTGGCCATCATGGTATTAGACACTGGAACAGGTGTAAAATGTCTGATATGGTCTCCCCATCTTCCACTGCAGAATTTGGAATAAGGAGAACTGGTTGGGTAAAGCTGTGAAAAATGTGTGTGAAGGAACATGTGCAGCTAAAATGCTCCCCTCCTAAATGTATACATTTCTCTTGTTGTCAGCCATGCATACATAGCTTCTGCAGTCCTGTAAGATAGCTTTAGGAAAGCTGGACATGTAATTTTTTCATGAAAATAATCTGCTGGCTCAATATAGGCATGCATTATCCATGCCTTTGCTGTGCTGCTGGAGAGGTTTGATAATAGTTCAGTGTTTGGTTCCTTGTGCTCTTTTCCATCCCTGTGTCACACAGCTGTTTTGCTGCTATTTGCAATGCCTGAAATTACTCACTGTTAAGTATTATTAAGGAACAATTCTTATCACTTTAGGTTTTCAGGGACTGTCTTTAGCTAATTACCACAGCATCCCAAAACGCTGAAATGACTCAGTGCCTTTCTGCTCACAAGTAGTACAATGTTCATTTATTCTTTGACAAATTAATCTGTGGGACTTCGTGGCTCCTCTGGAACATGCTCCTTCTGTGGCAGGGGTAAGTCACCCTTAAAAACTCATGGGAACCCAAAAGAGAACCAGGTTGTGTGTGCTTCAGCTCTGGGGCTCTGTGGCAGTGCTGCACAGTTGCACAGCTGCAGTGGATGCATTGGGGAGCATTCAGGTTTTGGAGGGGAAAATGAGTCTCCAGCTTGCTTGTTTTAGAAATGGGGAAGCACCCTGGGACTCTCTGAGAAGCCACTTGCCTGCCAACCTTTAGGAATGAAGGAAATGCTGTAGCTCTCACAGTACAAAGTACTGCTCTGCAAGTTGGTGCCACCTGGGTTAAACCACAAAACTGTGCACAGTATAAAAATGAACAAGCCCACTTTGCAGTGCTTTGAAAATGGTTTGGCAGTGCACATACTGCACAATATCTGTCTAGTGGTGAGAAATGGTGCTCGCTATTGCAGACTCTTAGTGATTTAGAGACTTGCTTAGTGACTACAGCACCACCTTCCCTGGCCCTTTTACTAAAGGAATAGTTCTGTCCTGGGGTGTATTGAATTCCTGTCTGTCCCAAAATTGCAGTGGATAAGCCTTTCTATCAAAGAGACATTTTTTTAAAATATAAAAAAAATATTAACAGTTTAATTTTCAACCTAGCTCTGTGACCATTTGTATACTGGCATGATAAAAACAGAACAGAGGCTCAATAGCTGAAGGGTGATGCAGGAGCTGGAAGGAGAGCTTGAGGGTGGGAGTCTTATCAACTGGCTCTGTCATGGAAGCAAATGGCACATGCCTAACACACACGGCATGAGCAGAGAAGCCGTGGTCATGGTTATCACCTCTTTATTCACCCTATTTCATTCTGTCCCCTCATTACTCTCAAGGGGATTAGTGGGTACTACTGAGTGCAGAGTACTCTGGACAAATGGCTTACTTGTACTCAAATGCCTAAGAAAGAAGTAGGCAGCTTGGCCTTCAGAACTCTATTCTTCCAAATATGATGTCCTGGTTTAGGGCACCCCAGGACACATGATCAATAATTTTCAAGTATTTTAGACATGCAGATGAGAAGAACTGTGGTGTATTAGAAGGTATATTTTAGGTGGACAATTGTCAAAGATGCCAGTGCCCCTGACACATCTACTACTTGTGGGCTTCCAATAGCAGGTAATCACATCTGTGCTTTTGGAAGATCATTCAGTTGTTAGTAGAACTGACCCAAATACTCATGACAAGAAATTGACTCTCCAATTTTGACCTGCTGCAAATTGTGATCAGCTCAACAAGTCTTAACATATTAACATATGTATCTCTTCAGACATGAATTATTTATACAAGTGTTCAAAAAGGTCTGAAAAGCAATTTTCTTTTGGGCATGTGTGACTGGCCACATGAATGACATGGTATTCTCTCATCCCTGATTGTGTTAGCATTTTAATTGCTTATTCCATCTGATGCTAATTTTGATTCTTGATGAGGTCTCAGTGGTAGTACTAAATCCATTCTCACTGAACATTTATCCCTACAAAGTTTCATTTATGTGAAAGCTTCTGAAAAGAGAGGTATAAACCAGTAAAGTGTCAGTCTAATTTCATTATTTGGGCTGATATAAGCTAGCTGATAAATGCTCACCTACTTTCACCATCTTCAGTCATGATTGAGCTGGGGACTTCAAATCAACTACCTCCCAAAAATAAATTAGGTATGTGTTCAATATGAAGGCAACTTCACTATCATCACCCATTTTGGTTGCTGTGGTATTGTATAGATATTCATTTCCTCTGCTAATCAGGTGGAAAAGTGACTGAGGAGAAGTGTTAAGCACTATATTTTGAAAATCAAGATTTGACTCATTCTCTAAAAGCATCCATTATGTGCCTTAATAAATTTAAGCCAGAAGATGAGCCAAGCAGCAGCAAGCAAGAAAATTGTTTTGTGCCAAAAATAGGGAGGGGACTGCAAAGCCCAAGTATGGGAAGACAACCATGTATCTTAATAAGCAACTGTAAAGTGGTGGATTGTGACACTCGGACTGAGTTTTGAACTAGCAGAAAGTGACTGGGGGGATCAGTAGTGTGATGGGAAACACTGCAAAGGGAAGCTACATGACCAGCATAATAAAGATTATTTTCAAAAACCTTCACCGGAACTTCTCTAACAGCTACCACCATAAAATAAAGAGACAATAACAAAACTTTGTAAATGCATGCTGTGTTCCTATGCTCATGGAAGACAGTGACAAAACTCTTATTAACCTTGGTGCTGAAGGATCAAGTTTTTTCCTTTTATAACCTCCAAATGATTTGGTAACAGCAATTGATCAATCCTGCCACAACCACATGGGACAGATGTCAGTCTTGATGTTAGAGATGAATGTGCTAAGGTGAAGTAATTAATCCAGGTTCAGCAGTGCTTAGGCACTGAAGATAGACAATGCTTGACTGCTGTCCTCTGAGCTAATCTTCAAAAAATACCCTCCTCCCTTCCTTGACAAGAGATTTTGAAAGACATCTTACAAGCTTGGATCAACCACTATTGTGAATGAAACACATTCTGGCTTGTGTATTACAGAAATATATTTAGTACGTTCAGTATGCAAGCTCACGGAACCCATAGTATTTGAACAACTTGCTCCTGTTTTGCCTAATCCATGAATGCGGTTCAATTCTCAGCTGTCATTTGGCCAACCCTTTCCCTCCAGTAACTTACAACTTTCAATTTCTAGCGTGCAGTTTTGTTCATCCAGAGGATATCTGCGTAGATCCATCATGCAAGCAGCTGTTGTTGTGATCCTGTAAGAGGAGGGTGAAAAAAAACCAATGAGACTTGAAAACCACGTTTTGCTTGTTTGAGATGGCAAGATTTTCTATAATGGGTTTTCTGTTTGTTTAAATATAGAATGGTATGCACTTGGATTCCTGGTATACAGTACTGGTTACAGCATAAAGCATAACTATACGCTGAATATTGTAGAGAGGATTTTGACTCAAAAGTTTCTGTGTAAAAAGTGTACAGTGTTTTGAAGAACATTCAGTGAGATTTCCACTTGGACATCTTTTCTTAAATGTTCTAAATTGAGACATCTTCAAATCATTTAGCAAATTGTTTTATTTATATTTTATATTGCTGATATTTTTTTTTTCATTTCGTTGTCACTTACTGCTGTTTTAATTTTGTCTGATAGGTAGGTGTATTCTCATTCATGCTGTGGAATACCTGATAATACCTCATTTATTATTTTTATACTTCCATAATCAGTTTATCATTAACTATGATAATTGTACATCACCTCTTAAAAATGGCATGAGACAATCAAACACTAGTGAAATGTAACATCATACAGTGGTTACTTCATGAACATTGAGAGTAACTATGATTGCAGGCTGGATGTTTCAGATCCTTACTTCTTCTAGAGGGCATGTGAGTTGATATTTGGTCCCTAATGGTATTCTCCACAGCCTAAGACTTTTTGCAAGACAGTTCCTCTCCCTTGTTAGACCATAAATCACAAGAACATCTAAGAAAATATTTTCTGATAAGTCTGTGACTGCATGAGAGGAAGGTTAAATGACTTCATGAGGATGGGGACCAAATTTTAAAGCTCTCTTTGAGGAAGACTATTAGATCAGTGTTTTCAAACTCACAAAAGTGAGTTATCATCTTCATTTGCCTGTTTTTTTTTTTTTTTGGTGATAGATGGGTTCTTAAATGCTTGTAAAACTTTTGAAGTTGTGAATGGGCAAACTTGGCTTCTAATTTTATTGGTCTCTCTCCTTCTCTCTCCAAAGATTTATACCAGATAAAGGCAGATAACCTCTTTTCTTGATCTGGGTTTGGTCCTGTTGTTCCAGTTCCATGTTAATGAATACCAGAGGAGCACATCTTGAGATTTTACTTTTGATGTGCTCAAAGTCAAGTGCACTTACATGCTGTATTGGGGCGATAATCCTTGCTGTCACTGAACCGTCAGAATTTAAAAAGGAAAAAAATGCCACATACTTTATTACTGTGACATGCTTCAACATTTCCTAAGTCTACAAAATCCATAAGAATCAGCCCATGAAACTACTCTGGAATACTGTGTAAAGTACCATGAAAATGGTACATTTATACTTTTTCCAGGCTGATTCTGTCACATTAAATAGAAATGCATGTGTCTTAACATGCATTTGCCATGGAAATACATTTGCCATAAAAAAGGTCTTCAGCTGCCGTAGGACCTCATTTAGATTAGCCATGTATCAATTATACCTCACTGAGAGGCACTGAGAAGACACTCATTTGTCAGACACCTGCTTAATAACGCTTAAGATCACACATAACAATATACTGACATTAGTCACAGTTAAATGCTTTTTATTGAAGGTTTAATAGGGAAATGTTTTGTTCCCAATTAATAAATCAGCCTTTATGGTGATTTAGTTCACGTGTATCAAGCAGAGTGTTTTCTGAACCACTGTGGTGAGGCAGCACTCCCCCGCCACCTCCTCAGGCTGCTCTATGATCTCAGGGACTCCCGCCAGGCCTTGGCTTTTGGGCAACGAGTTGAGTGGTGAAGTGTACCATGCCAGAAATTCTTGTAGGTGGGGGTGGGACTCTCTGTACCAGGGACTTCTGCTGCCTCCCCAAGGAGGGGAACAAGAGACAGTCATCCTCTGAGAGCCTTGGAACATTATTTACCTGAATTGCAGCCTGAGTGGAACTGTGCCATCGTTTTTAAGAACTCCAGTAATTACCAGCTTGGATTGCAGCCAGCATAGAAACTCACTAATGACTAAAGCCAAAAATTTTGTGTCCCTCTAAGCAGCTGCTCTAAGAGCTGCCCTTTGAGCTCTTCTGGACTGCAGTGGATGCACCTCTCTCTTAGAGGGACACCTCTCAGAGCTTTGCTGTACTTGCTGGATTGTCACTGAAAACTCACGGTGGGACCCACACTGACACCCCCACTCCCTCTCAAGGCTCAAGTCTCACCCACAGAGAAATGACAAGGTATTTAACATTAGTATTTCATTGGATTTGAGAGTAATTTTTAACAGGTATATCTTTGTAAATTTATTTAGATACAGACATTGTGTCTGTAGATGTTTGTGAAGTGATTGAAACACACTATAGCAAGTATAGTATGAATGTTGCCATCTTGGGTCTATAATAAGTCATGCACCCTCTTTTGCACCCTTACACTTTTTTCTTCCTGGTCTCTGTGCAAATTCTAAACTGATTCTAATCCAATTTTATATGTATGCTTAATCTGTGTAGTAAGTAACCTTACTAAACCTAGTAAACCTTTCCATAGCACTTTGTGAAGTTGTACAAATTTATATTAAACCTGCTTTTGCTAATATATTTGACAATGATTTTTAAGTCATCCTAAGCACTCATTTGTGATAACCAGAGTTTGAATGACCAGTTATTCCTAATGGCAGGGTATTCACACTTCTGCAGTTTTGCATATTTTACATAAGCTACATAAGCAATAGCAATTAGCTATTCTTTACATCATCAATGCAAATTGATAGTGAAGTAGTAATTAATGCAATTGTTTGTATCTGAAATTTAAATATTCTACATAATCTTCTCCCCTGACACTGTAATTCTGACAAATGTACTGTCTTCTCTACCGGCCTGACAACACAATATGGTCCCCCGCTAAAGCTGGAGGTGCTTAAACTTTATTGGGAATCTTAGGTTTCCAGGAAAATAGCTACGTGTAACTGCAGGAGTGCTTCAGGATTCAGCAACCTTCATTACCTGTAGTTCATAAATCTGCCTTTTAAGCTTGTTTCTCACTCTTGATAGAGCTCAGCTGTGTAAATTTATTAATGGCATTATGCTCTGGATAACCACAAAACTTATTTAAGCAGATAAATTAAACCCAGATGAAATCATAGTAATTGTTGTCTTGATGAAAAAAAAAATCAAGTATTTTGTTATAAATAGAGTAAATAAATCCCAGACCTGTTAGTGGTTGCACTCTCTCTGGGTGGAGAGAGTAACTGATGGCATATGCACCAGGAGCTTAAAAATAAAGACATTCAAATGCAGAATACAGCGGTGTAATGGCAGGAAGGAGATTGCAATATTCTGAAGATAGGGCAATGCTCCAATAAATCTGTGTTCAAGAGGATTAGACCTGAAAGGCCCTCAGCACAAGTTTGTGGCAAAGGCAGAATATCATGAGGCTCTGTAAATGTTTAAGTGGAGGATTAATCCTACACTTGAAGCAGAACTATTTATAGCTCAAAGTAGGATGTGTTTCTTCCAGGCTTTCAATTCTTAAAATACATTTTAAGTTCAGATGTTGGGGCTAATTTGTTTTGTTTGTACAGTGTCTTTTATTCTACTGTCCTTACATTCTTTAGAATAATTTGGCTACAAATGCTAAAAATGGGATTATGCAAAGAAGACAAGCAGTTAGGGTGGAGATATTTTATTATGCTACTTAATTTCACTCATGTCAGTACTCAGACATTCCGAGATGGAATGAAGTCTGAACTGCCAACAGGCAAGATAAATAGCATTTGCATAAAAGCAAAATCAACTGATTTAATTTTTTAAAATTGTGGCTTGGGGTTCAAGTTATTTGATCCACTGCTTAGCTTTTACTTTGATGCCTTACTCTCTGAATATCTTATACTTACAAATATAAGATTAAATGAAATAAAAAAACCCAATCCACTGATGTCCAGTACTTGCAAAACTGACCTCCTTAAATAATACTGTCAGAGATTTCCCTGCAGAGCAGCAGGTTTTGTAGGAATAAATGTTAAAGCTTAGTATTTTGAATTAAATCATCAATGAGCAGTTAAAGTTCAGAATGAAGGAAGTAGATTTATGGTTCAGTACTTAGATAATTTCCTCAATATGCTGTCAAAAAGCTGATCCTCAATTCTTAGACAAGAAATAAATGCAATATTTAAGACAGCAATAATAATTAAGTGTGAAGATGATGGGAGCTAAACAATGCAAATTCTATTGTGAAATGTTTTGGAGGTCAGGTATCAAATTTTAATATGTTCGTTCTTTTTCTATCAGTCAAGAGAGCATAAATTATAAATGTACATGAGGATATGAACTGGGATGGACTATTTTTTTTTCCTTACAAGCTAAATGAAATCTTCAAATCAAATAAAAAAGAACCATGCTTTTCTTAACCACTGCAGGTGCTAGGGCTCTAGTACATGCTGGAAGTAGACTTTCATATTCCAGGTAAAAAATTACTTTTATTAAATCAGTGTTAATTTAACTTCACTGGTATCAGGGAACTTAGTCCCCATGGAACAAAAGAATCCAGATCCATATCCCTGGTGTAATTGGTTTAATTTTTCTGAAACTGGAAGAATCTTGATATTTAAGATTGAGTGGGGATGTCTTGTAAGGAGAGTTACTGAAGGAATAGGGGAAGGCAGAAAAAAAAGTACATTTAATCTGCAATTTTCTTCTCTGTCCGAGCCACATACAAGGTTTACAGTTATCATACCTGCTGGCACCATAAATTTCCAAGAACAGCCTGAGTGCTTGACCCTGGAAGAAATGTCATCTCTGCACCTGGAAACGTGCCCAACTTCTGCTGCCTGGAGCAGCCCACTTGTAGGGTGTACAGTGAGCATCAGCATTATTAGTTTGGTATTGGGTATTTTATATAATGTTGTGTGCACTTGGGAAATCTGTGTTCAACAGCCTGTGTGTTGCTTGTCTGGTCAAATTCCATTAAAGTCTATTAAATTCTATTAAAAAAAAAGGAGTTATGAGTATTAGTAAAATTGCCAAGGGCCAAAAGGTGATTAAATAGTAA